CAAGGCCATAATCGACATGGAGGTGCCGAAGACACAGAAGGACATCCAGAGCCTTACCGGACGAGTGGCAGCCCTCACTCGTTTCATTTCCAAAGCCACAGACAAGTGTGCACCGTTCTTCAAAGCCCTGAAAGGGGGCAAACACCATATAGAGTGGACTGCCGAATGCGATAAGGCGTTTCAAGACTTGAATGACTATATGGGCAGAGCACCGCTACTTTCCAAACCCCTCCCTGGGGAAATTCTCTCCCTATATCTATCGGTATCCAACACTGCCTTCAGTTCGGTACTGGTACGAATACCCAAGAAGGCGGAGCTACCGATCTTCTACGTGAGTAAGGCCCTACAGGGGGCAGAGTCTCGGTACCCCCCACTCGAGCAGCTGGCTTTAGCTCTGGTCGTTTCTGCCCGGCGGTTAAGGCCCTATTTTTAGGCCCACACCATCATCGTTCTGACCAACCAGCCCCTTCGGCAAGTTTTTCAAAAACCAGAAACATCCGGAAGGCAGGTGAAATGGGCGATCGAGCTAGGAGAATTCAACGTACAGTTCAAACCCAGGCCTGCCGAAAAAGGACAAGCCGTAGCAGACTTCATCGCTGAACTGACACCTTCGGAGGCTTCAGAACCTGAAAAAACCCCTCCACAGGAAGTCCTACCGAATGGCAGTCGTCTCGACCAGTCAACTCCTTTTTGGATCCTACACGTTGACGGCTCGGCAAACCAACAAGGATGCGGAACTGGTCTGGTACTTACCGCTCCCGATGGAGCCAAAATTGAATATGCCATCAAGTTTGGCTTCCGAACGTCCAACAACGAAGCCGAATACGAGGCGCTTTTGGCCGGCCTACGGCTCGCCAGAAGCATGGGGGCCATTCAGATCAGCATCTACAGCGACTCGCAGCTAATAGTGAACCAGGTGACTGCCGATTTCGCAGCAAAGGACGCATCAATGACGGCGTACCTAACGGCAGCACACCAACTGCTAAAGAAGTTCCAGGCGTACGAAATTTGGCAAATACCAAGAAACGAGAACAGTCATGCCGAAGCCCTCGCTAGACTGGCTTCGGCAATCAACGACAAAGTAGGTCGAAAGATCCCCATCGAGATACTGACACTGCCGAGCACAGCCATTGCCGAGATCTGCGCTATAGAATACGACAACACATGGATGTCGCCTATTCATGCTTACCTAACGAACGACACTCTCCCTGCAGACAAGGCCAAGGCCAGACAGTTGCGTTACCGATCGACAAGGTACATTGTCATCAACGACATTCTGTACAAACGAGGCTACTCGACCCCCTACATGAAATGTATCAATGAAGAGCAAGGCGAATATGTCCTTCGGGAGATCCACAGTGGTGTCTGCGGCGATCACTCCGGTTCTAAATCCCTGGCCCACAAGGCCTTTCGGCAGGGCTACTATTGGCCATCAATGCATCGGGATGCAATAGCAATGGTGAAGAGGTGCGATAAATGCCAACGGTTCGGCAATATTCCCCACCTGCTTGCGGAACCCCTCACACCGATCGTAAGTCCATGGCCGTTCGCCCAATGGGGGCTCGACCTGATTGGTCCAATGCCACAGGGCAAGGGACAGGTTAAGTACGCAATTGTTGCCGTGGACTATTTCACGAAATGGGTTGAGGCCGAAGCCCTAGCCACCATAACGGCGGCAAGAGTCGAAGAGTTTGTCTGGACCAATATCTGTTGCCGCTTCGGCATCCCCTACGCCATCATCACTGATAACGGCAGACAGTTTGATTCGGAGCTCTTCAGGCAGTTCTGCACTCGCCTCAAAATCAACCCATTCTTCGCCTCTACAGCTC